TTGCACAATTCTCTAAAAACTTCAAATACATTAGATTTTTCCCTAACGAAGTTAATCCAGGTGAATTTGGAAAAATCATCCACAACCACATAGGCATATCTTTTTCCACCAAGACTCTCCACTTGCATTGGTCCCATCAGATCCATATGAAGAAGTTCTAGAACCTTGGAGGTGGTCAGATGTCTTGACTTTGGATGTGACATCCTAGTCTGTTTACCAACCTGACATTCACCACAAACTCTTCCTTCATCAATTTGCAGTCTTGGAATCCCTCTGACTGCCTCCATGGAGATAATCCTTTTCATACCTCTTAGATGAAGATGGCCAAGTTTTTGGTGCCACAGTTTCACCTCTTTTTCTTCTTTTGCAATGGAACACACAGAGGAGAAATTAGTGTTCTCAGGCTCCCATAAGTAACAGTTGTCTTTAGATCTGACTCCTTTCATTATAATTTCTTATTTTTCATTAATTACAAGACATTCAGATTTTGAGAAATTGACCTTGAATCCTAGATCACACAATTTACTGATACTAATGAGATTAGCAGTCAGCCCTTTTACCAGCAGTACTTCACTCAGACTTGGAACTCCAGGGCAGTCCAAATTACCAACTCCTTTGATTTCACCTTTAGCACAATCTCCAAAGGTCACAAAACTGGTGGTGTGAGGTTTAACATTATTGAGGAGGTTCTTGATTCCAGTCAGGTGTCTGGAACACCCACTGTCAAAGTACCAGTCTTCCTTTGCAGAGACCCTCAGGGAAGTGTGGGCTATCAGGGCAGTAGCCTTTTTCTTCCATTTAGGAGCATGTGGTACCTTTTTGGACTTAGGTTTGACACCTGAGTTCTGATTAGGGTATCCATGCAATCTGAAGCAGAAAGGCTTTATGTGACCATATCTCCCACAATGATGACATCTCCATCTTTGGTACCTTTTCTTCATGTGTCTCTGTTCCTGATGTTGAGAGTTGTGTTGAGACATCTGTTTTGACATTTGCTTATCAGGCCTGATCTTCTTATCTGTACCAGATTTCTTTGCTTCCACAAATCCTAGTCCAGATTTGTTTCCCATAATTTGTCCAACTTGAAGAATCTCTTCCAATTTGTCTGTTCCATTAGTCAGCATCTTGACAGATTTGGTCATTTGGTTCAGTTGTGAGTTCAGCAATTGAACTTCCCCTTCTAGATGACTTATAGTTTCAAGATCTGCCCTTTTTTCAGCCTCCAGCTTTATGATGAGTTTTGATTGTTTCTCATTCTGCACACAGACTTCAGCACTTCTGATACACAATTTCTTGTAGGTATCAGCCAGTTCTTCAAATGTCACTTCTTCATCACTAGTGTCACTTTCAGAGGTACAAACACCAGTTAGAGCAGTAACTAGTTTGGCAGATTCTTCTTCAGAATTACTTTCTGAATCACAGTCAGACCAAGTAACAGTCATTCCTTTCTTTTGTTTCTTAAGAAAGGTAGGACATTCAGCTCGAATATGCCCATATCCTTCACAGCCATGGCATTGAATTCCTCTGCCTTGATTTCCCTTCTCTTCTGACCTTGGTCTTCTACTGGAACTGTCAATGTCAGAGGGAATGTTATGAACATTAGACCTTGACTTTGGATCTATTCTTTTGATGAGTTTGTTGAACTGTCTTCCAAGCATGGCTATAGCTTCTGAAATATTTTCTTCTTGTCACCATTTTCAGTGCTATGCTCTTGTTCTTCTTGTCACCATTTTCAGTGATCCCCGTCTCAAAAGTCTGAAGAGACCCAATTAGTTCATCCACTTTCAACTTGCTGATGTCCTGGGCTTCCTCTATGGCAGTTACCTTCATAGCAAATCTTTTAGGCAAGGATCTGAGAATCTTTCTCACCAATTTTTCTTCTGACATCTTTTCTCCCAGTGCTCCTGAGGTGTTGGCAATCTCCAAGATGTTCATGTGAAACTCATGAATGGTTTCATCTTCCATCATTTTTAGATTCTCAAACTTGGCAGTCAACATCTGAAGCCTTGACATTTTCACTTTGGAAGTGCCCTCATGAGTAGTTTTGAGAGTGTCCCAAACTTCCTTGGCCAATTCATATTGATGTACTAGTCTGAAAATGTTTCTATCAATTCCATTGAACAAGACATTTAAGGCTTTGGAATTTCCCAGGGCTAACTCATCTTCTTATTTACTCCAATCTTCCTCAGGCTTCAAACTGATTGTCCCATCTTTCTCAGTTATGGTGGGATGGATCCATCCTTTGTCAGCAGCTCTCCAAGCCTTTTTGTCCAGAGATTTTAAAAAGGCAATCATACGAGGTTTCCAGTAGTCATAATTTGTTCCATCCAGAATGGGTGGTCTATTTCCAAAAACTCCTTCTTTGTCCATAGTGTCAGAAAGTGATATCCCTAGATCTCACCCAGTAATACAGGCAGGGTGCCTGCTCTGATGCCAATTGAAATTCTGGCTGTAGATACTCAATGTCACGTTCAATGTTATGACACCGTATCTGACTTTCTATAAGACAGTAAATACAAAAACAGTAAAAAACACAGTCAATTGTTTACCCAGTTCAGTGTGCAACAACACCTACTCTGGGGACTACCAAGCCAGGGAGGAAATCCACTATAAGAGATATTAATTCAGGAATAAACCAACCAGTTTATCTCCTTCACTTAAGACCTACCCAATGCAACTTCAATCTAAGTACAACTTAAACCTGAGTTCCTACTCACTCCCCCTCAATCACAGCAGTGATACATAAAACAATTTGACTAATGAATTGATGAAGACACTCTTCAAAACATACACTTGATTATGCTTCACAGCTTTTTAATCAAGCAACACAAACACTCTTGCTTCACAGCTTTGAGTGATACACAAACCTAACTTGACTTTGCTTCAAAGCTTTAGTTAAGAGACATACAAACACTCTTGCTTCAAAGCTTTGAGTGATACACAACCCTTACAATTAAAACCTATTCCAAGTCACTTATCACAATGATAATTGCTTGGATTACAATAGTTAAAACTATACAGCTTCTAAATGATCTTCTGTCAAAAAAAGGGATTAATTCCAAAACAGCAGCTCTGTTGAATATATAGCAGCTGCATCTTCAGTTAGGGTTTCCATAAAAAGCTAGGGTTAATTCCGTTTGACCTTAAGACTAGGTCACAGGACTTTATCAACCAGGTTAGGGTTGAGCTAGGTTAACCCCAAGTCCACGAGATTTTCTGTTCTGGAAAGACTGAGTCATAATCCTGAAAAAACTCAGAATTACCCAAACTGCATAACTGTTAGTTCAGAACAGGATGTCTTAACATTTGTTATGACATCTGAAAACCTGTCTACTGATTTAGGTAAATGTGATCTTTTTGCAAAATGCTCAGATACACACTTATAAACAGCAGCACCTATATGACAATATTTTTCTGCAAAGGTACCTAATGAATCAGTACATACTAAACTAGAATGTTATGACATCAGTCATGACATTCACACACACACACACACACACACACCTGGTTTTACCAAAAATGCAAGCCAATAACTAAACAACTACAATAGGTACAATTACACATTCCATCCAAATGGATGTATTGTGTATTATCTGTCTCTCACGATCGTTTCTTACTATTGACAGCTGGCAAGATGAAAGTGACGTGTGTACTACTACAATGGTCCACTTCCTCAACGCTTATATAAAGGTTCAAGAAATTAATTTGCAATGAGAGAGAATATTGTATGACTGAAATACAAGAACATTAATTCTGTCAAATCCAAAACGTGAAGAAATCATCAAGAAAGAAGATTAAAACACAAAGAGTTGTTGCTTATTATTTGTGTTGGTATTAGTTCTTCACTAATCATCAAAGAGAGAAGACAAAGACACAAGAGTTGTTGCTCATTAATTGTGTTATTATTTGTTATTCATTTGTAGTGTTCTAACACAAGAGTTGTTGCTCATAATTGTGTGAAACATATGTACTTAAACATTTGTGTCATTTACTTGTAAGAAGCAATCTTGTAAACACATTATTCAACTGTAAGTTGATTGTTCCTTGAGTGACTAAGGTGTTAGTCAGAATACTCAAGAGCATTTAGAGAAATCTGCTTCGAAGAACCGGGTAGGTCAGAAGTCTTAAGGAATCAATGATCGTTATATCTCTTAGGGGACCGGATATGTCAGAATTCTTAAGGGATCACTAACAGGTTATCATTGCTTTGTTGTTAGTCACCGGCGGGTAGCTCTTGCATTTGTAATCTTTCAAGATTAGTTTATTAAGCCTTTTTCTAAAGCAAAATCACATTGACGGGTGAACATGATTAACCTTTTCTAAGATGAACTTGTATAAATCGAAAGTGTCATGAATTCTCTTTATAAGATTGATTATATTTTAATTGTTTATGTAAAGTACTTCTAAACGAAAAAGTTTTTAAAACCCAATTCAAACCCTCCATTTTTTATCTTTTTTTCAACTTTCAAGAACGACCTTGATGACTTTCTTCTAAGTGTCTGATTTCCTTATCTTGGACATGAACCTAAAAGTCGGAACGATCACTTTGGTGAACTTATTCCACCTCGCCCCGACAAGCTATAGCTTCTGCCATCACAAATCGTGGCAATTTCAATCAACAAAATATTAACATTTAGACAAATCTAGACCGTGTAAAGATAAATTATTTATTAAATTATAGAGTGTAATGAACTATCGCCCAAGATATTAAAACAAAGTCATCTTAGTTTAATTTTGAAAGGGGCAAATCTAAAGCATAAAAAATAAATGATTGTTGTAAGAACAAAGAACAAAGAAGAGAACAGAATATTAATAGTTTCTCGTGGCCTGGTTTGCTATTTGGTAAGATTAAGAATTATAACCAATATTATAACAAAGTCACATGTTATTATAAACACACACCAAACCTCCCCTAACTGTGGTAGTTGTTCTTCTTCTTGCTCCTATATCAAACTCAACATCTTCATTCGCATCACTCACACCCAATTTTGGAAATTCAAATGGACTCGTCTCACTCTCAATGGATCCAACCCTTGGTTGCTGTCTCCGTCGGTTCCTTCATCGCATTCAGAGCTCACAGAAAAAATTCCCTCAGCACTTCTGGTGCTTTCGCCGGTTTATTCGTTATGTCGCTTCACATTCTTATAGGATTCAGGTAACTAACTCCTTAATCATCCCTTTTTCTTCTCAATCTTGTACAATCTTTTTGTTGTTTATTGTTGGTTTTCATTTCAATTTTCAAGGTTTGCGGCGATGCTATTTGCTTTCTTTTTCACTTCTTCTACCCTCACAAAGAAGGGACAAGATAAGAAACGGTTAATTGATCCTGAATTCAAAATAGGTGGACAAAGAAACTGGTTTGTGTCCTTTATCTACTTCAGTTTTCAACACTTGGGCCTTTTTCTTGTACTATCTTGTCTTCTTGTTGTCCATTCATAGTTACTATTAACTCTCTTTACAATTCAACCTTGAATAAAAAAACAGCATTAATTGCTATTGTAGAATTGATTGAGGGATGTTTTTTTGTTCGATTATGGTGAGGTAATTGACCTGAATTTGGTCTGAATTTTGCCTACTGGTTTTTTCAGGATACAAGTTCTGTCCAATAGTGGTATTGCCTCTATTCTGGTTGTAGCTTTATGGGTTTTAACAGAAGGGAAGGATTATTGCTTGGATTCTAAAGACTCGCCTCTGATTACTGCTCTTATTGGTGGCGTTATTGGCCATTACTGCTGCTGCAATGGAGACACCTGGTCTTCAGAGATTGGAGTTCTCAGTGATGACCGTCCTCGTCTTATCACAACCTTTAAGGTAAATAGTCGGTAAATAGTCTTTTAGTCTAAGCCCTCTATGAGCATAGCATCCGCGTATATTACGTTGCTGTTTGGGTAGAGACTAGTTAACACTAGTGTTGACGAAACACTGCCTTGAAATATCATGCTATGAAAAGTGGCGTATAGGTTATAACACCGGTGGATCTTTTTAGAGAAAGTTCAATTAAAAAATTTCCACTAAATTTTAGAGATTGCGGCAAATTGACAAAATGGTTAAAAGTTTATTTTTTTATTTTTTATTTTTATCAGCATGTGAGGAAGGGTACAAATGGTGGTGTGACAAAAACAGGACTTCTAGCAGCTGCAGGTGGTGGAAGTGTTATTGGACTATCATATTTTCTTTTAGAACTTTTGACAATCAGGTGTGGGTCTGATAGAGTTCTCAAGCAACTACTGGTCATACCCATCGCCACCACGGCAGGACTAGGTGGGAGTATCATAGACTCTCTATTTGGTGCAACGTTACAGTTTAGTGGATTCTGCTCAATTCGCCAGAAGGTAAATTCTGATACACATTTCTCTCATATTTGCATTACTTTGCATTACTTTGCATTACATTTGAACAATGTAATGAAAGATCCAATGGCATTGGATATTTGATTATCGAAATCTCTCACTATGCTGTAGGTTGTTGGGAAGCCAGGACCAACTGTTAAAAAGATTTCAGGTCTCAGCATTCTTGACAACAATGCAGTGAACTTTGTGTCTATACTGTTGACCACGATTTTAACTTCAATAGCTTGTTTGTACATATTTTAGTTTCATCATGAGCAGCAGTTCTGTGACTGAAAAAATTGTAAAAGAATTCAAAATTTGTAATCGAACGATAGAACAGGGCGACCTCCTATCAGAAAGAAGGAAACCAAATAAAGGCACGCTTGTGATTCAATTCTTGTATTCATATCTAGTTACAGTTTCATCAGCTAGTGTAGATTTTGAATAGTAGATTAGGCCAGCATAAGAATGACATTGTTGGGATATATCTCTATAACCAATCCCCGAAAAGAGCTGTTCTACCTCAATGATTTTGCTGTCTGCAAATTTACTGCTCTATCTAAATATAAAATCGAAAGAATAAAAATAGTAAAAGTCTTGCACTTCAAGGTCTGTGCAGTTAGATTGATTTTTTAAAACTGATTTAAATCGACTAAACTGCGTACATCAATTTTAGTACTTGTTTAGTTTTTTTAGGTAAAAGCAACAATGTTGTCGAAAAAAAGAACAAAAAAGGTACACACTTGGGGGCTATGCAAGAAAAAAAAATCAAAAGAGAAAATTGGCAAGAAAAAAATCAAGAGAAAAATGAGAAGAAATAAAAGATTGATAATAAATTAAGTAAATCTAGAGTAATGCAATCCAAAGTGGTCCTTTGAAAAATTATTTGTTTATTTGTTATTAGTATGATATGTTATTTTAATTTATTCTTTATTGAAAAATGATGTATTTTATCATTATTAATTTGTTTAGTTTAATTTTTTTATTTTTAATAATTTATTTGTTTCAACATAAAGGATTACTCTTGATCTTGTCATTTTGTAATATTATTTTTAAAATATTATATATTATACTTGAGATTAATTGCTATGCATTAGAAGTATAAAAATTTTACATCATCAATACATTATAATCATTAAAGTATATTATTATAAAAATAAAATAAAATTAAAGTTAAACTTTTCAAATAAATGAACTGCTGTGATTAGTTGAAACATTATTTCTTCTTATTAATTGGTATAAGTTTTTTTTTTGTAAATAGATATACTTGTAAGGCATAAAAGATATATAAAATTTACTTGTTTTAAGTGTTAAAAATTATATCTAAGTCATTCTTTTATTTTTCTAGTGTACGAGAATAAATGAGAGAATTTTATTTTGTGAAATATCGTTGATCGATATGTTTAATATGAATGTGTGTTTCTTGTTAAGGTTTCCAAAGTATTTTGAAGGATAACTCATTTGCATCCAATTTGTTTAAATTGGTGGGGTCGAATCGAACTTAAAGCTTAGTGTAAACACACATTTTGTACTACATTTCATGTAACTTTCATCATACAATTTTCATCTTCTTCTTGTTCATATTTTGCAGCAGACTCCCAAAAATAAGATCTAACAATCTTTAAGTTCGATTCTCGATTATTGATTTTGATTCATACTTTATTTATAATTAATATTAAAATATACAACTTTAAAGAAGAAGAAGATAACAACTTTCGACAATGGTAAAAGGTACATAATTATATTATTATAAATATGTCATATATGTTATGTTTTAAATCCACGTAAAATATATTAAAAATAATATTTATTTATGTTAAGTTTAACATGTGCAATAATTTATGTATGCATGATTTATAAATTATTCAAGTATGTGAATTTGAATAAGTAAGAATATATTTGGTTTATGGTGTATACTTGAATGTAAAATACATGTTAAATATTATACTTTGATGCAAGTAATTTATCTTAATTAATAATGCATTATTTTTAGATAAAATAATTTGGTGAAAAATAAAATCATGAATTTGGATATATGATGCATGTATTGGTAACATAAAATAATGTAAATAAAATATTAAAAATATCTATAACATGTTTCAACTGTATATTTTATTTATGCAAGAATTTATTATATTTAAAATGATTTATCTCATATCATATGTGTATAATAATAAAAAATATATTATTTCTTGTTCATCTTGATATTAAAAGTAATTATGGTATACTTTAGATTATTGTAAGTTAACAAATATTTATGGAGAAAAGTTATAGAAAATATTAATGATGTGAATTCATTGTTTATTTTGTATTGTGATTTTTATTTTGAATACACCTTAGAACATTGTTAAATATGAAGCATGAATTTATCACATAAAATTTATCATGGATATGTTAGCTATGCAAAAAAATTGTTTATTTTGAAAGAATAGAAATGCATTCTATGGTTTGTATTTATATGGAGTTTTTGAAACCTTTGTTGATGAAGAGAAATAAAACATATTTTAGAGATTGCATTTACCGCGAAAATCGGAAGTTTTAAAAAGTCGGACGAAAAGTCGAAAAATAGAAATCGGGGGAAAGATCGGTCGTGAATAGTATCGCCCGTACAGATGAATAATGCTACCCGTACGAATGAATAGTGTTGTCTGTACGGACAAATAGTGTTGTTTGTACGGTGAATAGTGATGTCCATATGGTGAATAATGATTTTGAGTTTTTGGGTTTTTTCGATTCAGTCCATGGATCCATGTATAATTGGATTGTAATTTTGGGTTTTCTTTGTTGGATATTTTCTATTATAAATATGTATCTCTTATATGCTTGCAGGTGTGACAATCTTAGAGCTTATAGCAACAAGGGAGAGCAAGAGTTTAAAGGCATAACATAGGATTTTGGCTATTCTAAATGGAAACCTTAGAAAGACAAGAGTTTTGGAAACCTTTGGGGTTATCTAAGGTTATTGGGAATTGGAAAATACTTGTTTACATCTTGGGTTTGGGTTATTCATATAGAATTATAGTTATTTTTGCATATACTTTTTGTTGCACTTATCGACTCTTTTTTGTTAATATCGGTTGAATAAACTCGATTTTTGTGTAAATACGTTTAGTTTGTACATAATTGAGTTTTTGATTCATTGTGTATCTGTTGATAGTTTTCCATTCATTTTGTAGGTATTTGAGCATTGTTGGAGCATTGAGTAATAAAACCTCCAAGATGCATTTTTGGAACAATAAAAGGAAGAAGGCAAAGAAGGAAAGCCAAAAAAAGAAGCTGAGTTTTTCTATTTTGTCACTTGCGCTGGGCGAAGCCAGGGTGAGCTGAGCGCCAGGCTGCATGTCGGGCGGTGACAAGGCAAGCTGAGCGCCATGCAAGGCAGGAGCGGTGCGAAATGATAAAACTCCTTATGCTTCTGTCTTGGCCTCGCGTGTGTAGCGTCGGGCGAGACTTTAGGCCAGGGTCAGGCGGTGGTTGTGAGCGTCGGGTGGTGCTAAATATTTTTGTCAGCTTGCATATGTGGCGCAAACTGAGTGGTTGAATAAAAGCGCAGCATTAGGCAGTGGTTTTGAGCGCCGGGCAGTGCGTATCTGGTCCAATTTTGTATTTAGGTTGTAAAAACACATTTATTAGGGATGATTTTGGGGTTTTTGTTCCCAAAATTCATCACCCTCATTTTTCAGTAGATTAGCTTAGAAAACAATAATGGAGCTTGCATACTGATGATCCAGGATGGATTTCTCATCAATCGACATTGACAAACCAGAAGATTTGTGGTTCATTTCTCTTGTTCTTTGTGTATTCTTAATTTGTTGAGTTTGTATATGTATTTACTTTGAACTCATGTATAATTGTAGCCCTTGGCATTGTATAAATCTTGCTTTACAAATCTTTTTTGATTATTGTCTTGGATTTTTGCTCCGTGTTTGGGGTTTGGGTTGTTATAGACATATACAACTTAAATTCCTATCTAGGATGATTATCTAATCGTGTCTAAATTCTAGATATATATTTAGAGCTATTATTTACTTGCGTATTTATAATTAATGCATTTGCGTTGGTTGTGTTGTGGTGAGAGATCGCCGACGCGAGTAGCACGATTGACTTCTGTGTTGTTGAGGTTCATTGAGGGATCGTCTCTGAGATGATATAGTGGGTCTTATGTTTGATACATGATGACATAGATGAGTTTTGTAGGTTGGGTATAATTGGTCTATAGGCTTAAGTTTGTGAGGAGTGGATTATATGCATGCTTAATAAGTCTCTTCTCCGAAGAATTTATTATTTTTCTGTTAATAACTTTAATTCTCGCATTTACTTCAAACTCATTTTACCCCAGACTCATTAACAAGAGATTTTTAGAACGACAATTCAGTAGCACTAATCTTTGTGAAGACGATACGATATAACCTATATCACCCTAAGTAAATACTTACTTGCCGCTCTACCGTTTCAGTAGAATGGCGTTGTTTTTGGATATTGATGTTTTTATTGAATCGCATTATAATAGTTTCTTTGTTTTTAAGTTTCGCACATAATGTTCATATTGTCTATATGATGTAATTAGAATTATACATGTATACTTGTGCATTTATGTGTTCATGTTTTCGATACTTGTAAATTTAGTGTATATGTTTGTTTCTCTTCATGTTTGATAAGTGTTTGGTTAGGTGTCACCGTCGGTGGAACTAACCGTTTATAGAAGCAACTTGGAGAAGTATGTATAAATAACAGACGTCGAGCTTATAATGTAAAACAAACATGTTTTAGTATTTTTCTTTTTGTTAGTTTAGGTAGTGTGTTAATTGTTGTTTAAACAAATTAAAATTGGACCTGTTTTAAAAACTCAAATCTTCACTTTTCAACTTGTTTATTCACTTTCATCCGATTGTTTTGTTGTGTTAATTATGTTCTTCCAAAAGCTTACTTTTATTAGCTTGAGGAATTTGTATGTGTGTAATTTTTTTTCTAATTCTTTTGTTGTTGTTTGTACTCAATTTTGGTCCGGTAACTTGAAGAATTTTGAGGTGATTGTTCGAATTTGAGTGTTTCAACTTGTGGATGTATGGTAATGATAGTTTTTGAAGTCGGTACACGCCAGGTACTCGTTTATCGCTTTCTATAGCATATCATGTTTAGGAAAAATTTCATTTGTATAATTACCATACCTCATTCTTTTTGCATTACTTACTTTTGATTGAATCACTTTAGTTTCCTTTTTACCCCAAATATGAGGAAGTTTTCCATTGTTCATATATGTTGGA